ATTTCCTCAATTAAGTCATCAACAATGATTGTTGACAATAGATACAGAGTACAGAAATGAAACTGTTCCCTGACCGGGAATCGAACCCGGGCCACGACGGTGAAAGCGTCGGATCCTAGCCACTAGACCATCAGGGAGACACTATTCCCCTTTATCCACCAAGTGAACGCTTGCACAGTTGTATAGAATCAGTCATTCCATGAACTTGCATTATCCAACTGACTTCCTGATTTTGGATTTCTTTTGCCACAAAAATGTGCGTAGAAGCTCATCGGTGTGTAAAATGGCCTTCCGGAACGTCTACAATTAGGCTCACTTGTCTTAAATTCAGCAAGCAGTCAAGCACGCCTAAGAGCAAATATTTATTGCAACACATAGACTTTAAGAACCAAATTCTAGAAAAGTGTTTTTGTGTTGTGAACTAAAGCTATAGTGAACTAACGCTATACTATGGCCTCTGACTGTCAACAGACATAGAATTTGACGGAATGTACAGCATTGGAGACTATTTTAGCACTGGTACTGCTATAGGTTTTTGGGTGGACATCTCTGTCATGTTGAAAATCAAAAGGTCTTTCTTTGATTACATTTTGTTGCCTTCCTGTGGATTAAGTTTCATCTTAATGTAGATCAAATTGAACACGGACAACAGTTTCTGATCTGACTCTTTGTCAGCAGTCATTGATGGTGCAAGTCAAATTAGTTTAGTGCACAATAAAAATGTAAAACTTCAATCCCCAAGAAAGACCAGTATTTTCATCTTTCCGATCATAACGATTTCATATTGAATTACGTGGTATTGGTGGTATAGTGGTGAGCATAGCTGCCTTCCAAGCATTTGACCCGGGTTCGATTCCCGGCCAATGCAAAGATTCATCTGCCCTGCTTCAAATGAAGCAGATTATGGAGTATTTCCTAATCCATTCTAAACTTCACCTAACCTACTGATTGTGTAAATGAGCCTATTTTTAATTATCTTAAAGCAGCCATTTCCTCAATTAAGTCATCAACAATGATTGTTGACAATAGATACAGAGTACAGAAATGAAACTGTTCCCTGACCGGGAATCGAACCCGGGCCACGACGGTGAAAGCGTCGGATCCTAGCCACTAGACCATCAGGGAGACACTATTCCTCTTTATCCACCAAGTGAACGCTTGCACAGTTGTATAGAATCAGTCATTCCATGAACTTGCATTGTCCAACTGACTTCCTGATTTTGGATTTCTTTTGCCACAAAAATGTGCGTAGAAGCTCATCGGTGTGTAAAATGGCCTTCCGGAACGTCTACAATTAGGCTCACTTGTCTTAAATTCAGCAAGCAGTCAAGCACGCCTAAGAGCAAATATTTATTGCAACACATAGACTTTAAGAACCAAATTCTGGAAAAGTGTTTTTGTGTTGTGAACTAAAGCTATAGTGAACTAAAGCTATACTATGGCCTCAGACTGTCAACAGACATAGAATTTGACGGAATGTACAGCATTGGAGACTATTTTAGCACTGGTACTGCTATAGGTTTTTGGGTGGACATCTCTGTCATGTTGAAAATCAAAAGGTCTTTCTTTGATTACATTTTGTTGCCTTCCTGTGGATTAAGTTTCATCTTAATGTAGATCAAATTGAACACGGACAACAGTTTCTGATCTGACTCTTTGTCAGCAGTCATTGATGGTGCAAGTCAAATTAGTTTAGTGCACAATAAAAATGTAAAACTTCAAACCCCAAGAAAGACCAGTATTTTCATCTTTCCGTTCATAACGATTTCACATTGAATTATGTGGCATTGGTGGTATAGTGGTGAGCATAGCTGCCTTCTAAGCAGTTGACCCAGGTTCGATTCCCGGCCATTGCAAAGGTTCAGCTGCCCTGCTTCAAATGAAGCATATTACGGAGTATTTCCTAATCCATTCTAAACATCACCAAACCTACTGATTGCGTAAATGTACCTATTTTTAATTATTTATCTTAAAGCAGCCATTTCCTCAATTAAGTCATCAACAATGATTGTTGACAGTAGATACAGAGTACAGAAATGAAACTCTTCACTGACCAGGAATCGAACCCGGGCCACGACGGTGAGAGTGTTGGATCCAAGCCACTAGACCATCAGGGAGACACTCTTCCTCTTTATCCACCAAGTGAACTCTTGCACAGTTGTATAGAATCAGTCATTCCATGAACTTGCATTGTCCAACTGACTTCCTGATTTTGGATTTCTTTTGCCACAAAAATGTGCGTAGAAGCTCATCGGTGTGTAAAATGGCATTCCGGAATGTCTACAATTAGGCTCACTTGTCTTAAATTCAGCAAGCAGTCAAGCACGCCTAAGAGCAAATATTTATTGCAACACATAGACTTTAAGAACCAAATTCTGGAAAAGTGTTTTTGTGTTGTGAACTAAAGCTATAGTGAACTAAAGCTATACTATGGCCTCAGACTGTCAACAGACATAGAATTTGACGGAATGTACAGCATTGGAGACTATTTTAGCACTGGTACTGCTATAGGTTTTTGGGTGGACATCTCTGTCATGTTGAAAATCAAAAGGTCTTTCTTTGATTACATTTTGTTGCCTTCCTGTGGATTAAGTTTCATCTTAATGTAGATCAAATTGAACACGGACAACAGTTTCTGATCTGACTCTTTGTCAGCAGTCATTGATGGTGCAAGTCAAATTAGTTTAGTGCACAATAAAAATGTAAAACTTCAAACCCCAAGAAAGACCAGTATTTTCATCTTTCTGATCATAACGATTTCATATTGAATTACGTGGCATTGGTGGTATAGTGGTGAGCATAGCTGCCTTCCAAGCAGTTGACCAGGTTCGATTCCCGGCCAATGCAAAGATTCATCTGCCCTGCTTCAAATGAAGCAGATTATGGAGTATTTCCTAATCCATTCTAAACTTCACCTAACCTACTGATTGTGTAAATGATCCTATTTTTAATTATCTTAAAGCAGCCATTTCCTCAATTAAGTCATCAACAATGATTGTTGACAATAGATACAGAGTACAGAAATGAAACTGTTCCCTGACCGGGAATCGAACCCGGGCCACGACGGTGAAAGCGTCGGATCCTAGCCACTAGACCATCAGGGAGACACTATTCCTCTTTATCCACCAAGTGAACGCTTGCACAGTTGTATAGAATCAGTCATTCCATGAACTTGCATTGTCCAACTGACTTCCTGATTTTGGATTTCTTTTGCCACAAAAATGTGCGTAGAAGCTCATCGGTGTGTAAAATGGCCTTCCGGAACGTCTACAATTAGGCTCACTTGTCTTAAATTCAGCAAGCAGTCAAGCACGCCTAAGAGCAAATATTTATTGCAACACATAGACTTTAAGAACCAAATTCTGGAAAAGTGTTTTTGTGTTGTGAACTAAAGCTATAGTGAACTAAAGCTATACTATGGCCTCAGACTGTCAACAGACATAGAATTTGACGGAATGTACAGCGTTGGAGACTATTTTAGCACTGGTACTGCTATAGGTTTTTGGGTGGACATCTCTGTCATGTTGAAAATCAAAAGGTCTTTCTTTGATTACATTTTGTTGCCTTCCTGTGGATTAAGTTTCATCTTAATGTAGATCAAATTGAACACCGACAACGGTTTCTGATCTGACTCTTTGTCAGCAGTCTTTGATGGTGCAAGTCAAATTAGTTTAGTGCACAATAAAAATGTAAAACTTCAAACCCCAAGAAAGACCAGTCACTTCATCTTTCCGGTCATAATGATTTCACATTGAATTACTTGGCACTGGTGGTATAGTGGTGAGCATTGCTGCCTTCCAAACAGTTGACCTGGGTTCGAATCCCGGCCAATGCAAAGATTCATCTGCCCTGCTTATAATGAAGCAGATTACGGAGTATTTCCTAATCCATTCTAAACTTCACCTAACCTACTGATTGCGTAAATGTTCCTATTTTTAATTATTTGTCTTAAAGCAGCCATTTCCTCAATTAAGTCATCAACAATGATTGTTGACAATAGATACAGAGTACAGAAATGAAACTCTTCCCTGACCGGGAATCGAACCCGGGCCACGACGGTGAAAGCGTCGGATCCTAGCCACTAGACCATCAGGGAGACACTCTTCCTCTTTATCCACCAAGTGAACGCTTGCACAGTTGTATAGAATCAGTCATTCCATGAACTTGCATTGTCCAACTGACTTCCTGATTTTGAATTTCTTTTGCCACAAAAATGTGCGTAGAAGCTCATCGGTGTGTAAAATGGCCTTCCGGAACGTCTACAATTAGGCTCACTTGTCTTAAATTCAGCAAGCAGTCAAGCACGCCTAAGAGCAAATATTTATTGCAACACATAGACTTTAAGAACCAAATTCTGGAAAAGTGTTTTTGTGTTGTGAACTAAAGCTATACTATGGCCTCAGACTGTCAACAGACATAGAATTTGACGGAATGTACAGCGTTGGAGACTATTTTAGCACTGGTACTGCTATAGGTTTTTGGGTGGACATCTCTGTCATGTTGAAAATCAAAAGGTCTTTCTTTGATTACATTTTGTTGCCTTCCTGTGGATTAAGTTTCATCTTAATGTAGATCAAATTGAACACCGACAACGGTTTCTGATCTGACTCTTTGTCAGCAGTCTTTGATGGTGCAAGTCAAATTAGTTTAGTGCACAATAAAAATGTAAAACTTCAAACCCCAAGAAAGACCAGTCACTTCATCTTTCCGGTCATAATGATTTCACATTGAATTACTTGGCACTGGTGGTATAGTGGAGAGCATTGCTGCCTTCCAAACAGTTGACCTGGGTTCGAATCCCGGCCAATGCAAAGATTCATCTGCCCTGCTTCAAATGAAGCAGATTACGGAGTATTTCCTAATCCATTCTAAACTTCACCTAACCTACTGATTGCGTAAATGTTCCTATTTTTAATTATTTGTCTTAAAGCAGCCATTTCCTCAATTAAGTCATCAACAATGATTGTTGACAATAGATACAGAGTACAGAAATGAAACTCTTCCCTGACCGGGAATCGAACCCGGGCCACGACGGTGAAAGCGTCGGATCCTAGCCACTAGACCATCAGGCCGGGGACACACTGGCCGCGGAAGCGCCGCGAAGCGCCGCGAAAATGGGACCGCCTTCATTCGGCGCCCTTGTTAAGCTATTCTATAGACCACATGGGCCGCCGAAGCGTCGCGAATCGCCTCGCGCCGGCGCGCGCCGGCGCTCCAGCCCGCGCCGTGCAGCGATCATTTCGGCGTTGGCTCTATTTTTTTCGCGAGCCGCGGGTGAATCGCGTCAATTCTGGCAGGAAGTCAAACGTAGACATAAGAGGCAGGCCGGTAAAGTTAACAAAATAAAGCATTTCAAAATAAAATTCCGCAATAGTCAAATGTGTTCGTAAACAGACACTGCAGAGAAACCACACGAACACGCACACACATACACACACATCGAACTTGTGTGCGTGTGTGACCACGTGAAGGGGGGAGTGGTTTTGGGTGTCTTTTCACCGGAGCAAACAGGACAGAGAGGCAGAAAGTCTGAGGCAAGCAGTTAGGATGGATGACTTTAAATTAATTATGGAAGTTGAGAAACACAAGGAGCTGTACGACCCCCGAAAAACATGATTGTTTACGTACCCATGTCGGAAGAAACTGCTAGGATACAGCTGCAGAATTGGAGCGGGTTCCAAGAGATTCAACTGGCAGAAACAACTCATACCATAGGTTCACACACACACACGCGCGCGCACGCACGCGCACAAACACTCAAACGTAGGAAAAGAGCTGAGAAAAGGCAGAGAGGAAATGGAGGACACCAAGTGTTTAAAAGAAAAACTACAGCTGAGCCGAGGCGCGCCTCGACTGGGGCGCGTCTGATCTGAACTGAGGAGCGGCGAGCAGCGGCCGAATTTCGTGAGCGATTCGCTTCTCGGCGCTTCGCGGCGCTTCCGCGGCCGGTGTGTCCCCGGCGTCAGGGAGACACTCTTCCTCTTTATCCACCAAGTGAACGCTTGCACAGTTGTATAGAATCAGTCATTCCATGAACTTGCATTGTCCAACTGACTTCCTGATTTTGAATTTCTTTTGCCACAAAAATGTGCGTAGAAGCTCATCGGTGTGTAAAATGGCCTTCCGGAACGTCTACAATTAGGCTCACTTGTCTTAAATTCAGCAAGCAGTCAAGCACGCCTAAGAGCAAATATTTATTGCAACACATAGACTTTAAGAACCAAATTCTGGAAAAGTGTTTTTGTGTTGTGAACTAAAGCTATACTATGGCCTCAGACTGTCAACAGACAGAATTTGACGGAATGTACAGCATTGGAGACTATTTTAGCACTGGTACTGCTATAGGTTTTTGGGTGGACATCTCTGTCATGTTGAAAATCAAAAGGTCTTTCTTTGATTACATTTTGTTGCCTTCCTGTGGATTAAGTTTCATCTTAATGTAGATCAAATTGAACACGGACAACAGTTTCTGATCTGACTCTTTGTCAGCAGTCATTGATGGTGCAAGTCAAATTAGTTTAGTGCACAATAAAAATGTAAAACTTCAAACCCCAAGAAAGACCAGTATTTTCATCTTTCCGGTCATAACGATTTCACATTGAATTACGTGGCATTGGTGGTATAGTGGTGAGCATAGCTGCCTTCCAAGCAGTTGACCCGGGTTCGATTCCTGGCCAATGCAAAGGTTCAGCTGCGCTGCTTCAAATGAAGCATATTACGGAGTATTTCCTAATCCATTCTAAACATCACCAAACCTACTGATTGCGTAAATGTACCTTTTTTTTTATTATTTATCTTAAAGCAGTCATTTCCTCAATTAAGTAATCAACAATGATTGTTGACAATAGATACAGAGTACAGAAATGAAAATCTTCCCTGACCGGGAATCGAACCCGGGCCACGACGGTGAGAGCGTCGGATCCTAGCCACTAGACCATCAGGGAGACACTCTTCCTCTTTATCCACCAAGTGAACGCTTGCACAGTTGTATAGAATCAGTCATTCCATGAACTTGCATTGTCCAACTGACTTCCTGATTTTGGATTTCTTTTGCCACAAAAATGTGCGTAGAAGCTCATCGGTGTGTAAAATGGCATTCCGGAATGTCTACAATTAGGCTCACTTGTCTTAAATTCAGCAAGCAGTCAAGCACGCCTAAGAGCAAATATTTATTGCAACACATACACTTTAAGAACCAAATTCTGGAAAAGTGTTTTTGTGTTGTGAACTAAAGCTATAGTGAACTAAAGCTATACTATGGCCTCAGACTGTCAACAGACATAGAAATTGACGGAATGTACAGCATTGGAGACTATTTTAGCACTGGTACTGCTATAGGTTTTTGGGTGGACATCTCTGTCATGTTGAAAATCAAAAGGTCTTTCTTTGATTACATTTTGTTGCCTTCCTGTGGATTAAGTTTCATCTTAATGTAGATCAAATTGAACACGGACAACAGTTTCTGATCTGACTCTTTGTCAGCAGTCATTGATGGTGCAAGTCAAATTAGTTTAGTGCACAATAAAAATGTAAAACTTCAATCCCCAAGAAAGACCAGTATTTTCATCTTTCCGATCATAACGATTTCATATTGAATTACGTGGTATTGGTGGTATAGTGGTGAGCATAGCTGCCTTCCAAGCAGTTGACCCGGGTTCGATTCCCGGCCAATGCAAAGATTCATCTGCCCTGCTTCAAATGAAGCAGATCATGGAGTATTTCCTAATCCATTCTAAACTTCACCTAACCTACTGATTGTGTAAATAAGCCTATTTTTAATTATCTTAAAGCAGCCATTTCCTCAATTAAGTCATCAACAATGATTGTTGACAATAGATACAGAGTACAGAAATGAAACTGTTCCCTGACCGGGAATCGAACCCGGGCCACGACGGTGAAAGCGTCGGATCCTAGCCACTAGACCATCAGGGAGACACTATTCCTCTTTATCCACCAAGTGAACGCTTGCACAGTTGTATAGAATCAGTCATTCCATGAACTTGCATTGTCCAACTGACTTCCTGATTTTGGATTTCTTTTGCCACAAAAATGTGCGTAGAAGCTCATCGGTGTGTAAAATGGCCTTCCGGAACGTCTACAATTAGGCTCACTTGTCTTAAATTCAGCAAGCAGTCAAGCACGCCTAAGAGCAAATATTTATTGCAACACATAGACTTTAAGAACCAAATTCTGGAAAAGTGTTTTTGTGTTGTGAACTAAAGCTATAGTGAACTAAAGCTATACTATGGCCTCAGACTGTCAACAGACATAGAATTTGACGGAATGTACAGCATTGGAGACTATTTTAGCACTGGTACTGCTATAGGTTTTTGGGTGGACATCTCTGTCATGTTGAAAATCAAAAGGTCTTTCTTTGATTACATTTTGTTGCCTTCCTGTGGATTAAGTTTCATCTTAATGTAGATCAAATTGAACACGGACAACAGTTTCTGATCTGACTCTTTGTCAGCAGTCATTGATGGTGCAAGTCAAATTAGTTTAGTGCACAATAAAAATGTAAAACTTCAAACCCCAAGAAAGACCAGTATTTTCATCTTTCCGTTCATAACGATTTCACATTGAATTATGTGGCATTGGTGGTATAGTGGTGAGCATAGCTGCCTTCTAAGCAGTTGACCCGGGTTCGATTCCTGGCCATTGCAAAGGTTCAGCTGCCCTGCTTCAAATGAAGCATATTACGGAGTATTTCCTAATCCATTCTAAACATCACCAAACCTACTGATTGCGTAAATGTACCTATTTTTAATTATTTATCTTAAAGCAGACATTTCCTCAATTAAGTCATCAACAATGATTGTTGACAGTAGATACAGAGTACAGAAATGAAACTCTTCACTGACCAGGAATCGAACCCGGGCCACGACGGTGAGAGTGTTGGATCCAAGCCACTAGACCATCAGGGAGACACTCTTCCTCTTTATCCACCAAGTGAACGCTTGCACAGTTGTATAGAATCAGTCATTCCATGAACTTGCATTGTCCAACTGACTTCCTGATTTTGGATTTCTTTTGCCACAAAAATGTGCGTAGAAGCTCATCGGTGTGTAAAATGGCATTCCGGAATGTCTACAATTAGGCTCACTTGTCTTAAATTCAGCAAGCAGTCAAGCACGCCTAAGAGCAAATATTTATTGCAACACATAGACTTTAAGAACCAAATTCTGGAAAAGTGTTTTTGTGTTGTGAACTAAAGCTATAGTGAACTAAAGCTATACTATGGCCTCAGACTGTCAACAGACATAGAATTTGACGGAATGTACAGCATTGGAGACTATTTTAGCACTGGTACTGCTATAGGTTTTTGGGTGGACATCTCTGTCATGTTGAAAATCAAAAGGTCTTTCTTTGATTACATTTTGTTGCCTTCCTGTGGATTAAGTTTCATCTTAATGTAGATCAAATTGAACACGGACAACAGTTTCTGATCTGACTCTTTGTCAGCAGTCATTGATGGTGCAAGTCAAATTAGTTTAGTGCACAATAAAAATGTAAAACTTCAAACCCCAAGAAAGACCAGTATTTTCATCTTTCCGTTCATAACGATTTCACATTGAATTATGTGGCATTGGTGGTATAGTGGTGAGCATAGCTGCCTTCTAAGCAGTTGACCCGGGTTCGATTCCCGGCCATTGCAAAGGTTCAGCTGCCCTGCTTCAAATGAAGCATATTACGGAGTATTTCCTAATCCATTCTAAACATCACCAAACCTACTTATTGCGTAAATGTACCTATTTTTAATTATTTATCTTAAAGCAGCCATTTCCTCAATTAAGTCATCAACAATGATTGTTGACAGTAGATACAGAGTACAGAAATGAAACTCTTCACTGACCAGGAATCGAACCCGGGCCACGACGGTGAGAGTGTTGGATCCAAGCCACTAGACCATCAGGGAGACACTCTTCCTCTTTATCCACCAAGTGAACGCTTGCACAGTTGTATAGAATCAGTCATTCCATGAACTTGCATTGTCCAACTGACTTCCTGATTTTGGATTTCTTTTGCCACAAAAATGTGCGTAGAAGCTCATCGGTGTGTAAAATGGCATTCCGGAAT